CCCTGATCCCCCTCCTGCCCTCTGAGCCCTTTGGTCCCAGTCCAGAGCACCGTCCTGCACTCCAACCTCTCATCCCCAGCCCCACCCCAGAGCCCGCACCCCCAGCTGGAGCCCCCCCCCACGCCCTGCCCCAGTCCAGAGCCCCCTCCCACACCCTGAACTCCTCATTTCTGGCCCCACCCCACTGCCCTCACCCTCTCATACACCCCAATCCCCAATTTTGTGAGCATTCATGGCCCGCCATACAATTTCCATACCCAGATGTAGCCCTTAGACCAAAAAGTTTGCCCACCCCTGGCTTAACAGGTTCCTCGAAAAGTATTTTAGTTTAAAAAGTTATTGAGGAATGCAGTCTTTTCTGCTTGATTTTGACTTTAGAAGAAAATCAGGCATGTCAAGCTTGGTCTCTCCCCTCCCCCCCCACCCCACACACACACACTTAAACTTCGAGGACCTGTTTGGGGATCTAGGCATATTTGTGAGCCCTTTTCAACAGCTCAACTTTCATTCTTTTGGCTCTTCTGAAATAATTTCACTAAGTTATCCAGTCATACCCTTCCAGGCTAGATAGGACCTGAATTTCTAATGTTAAAAAAACTAAGACTTTCAGACCTCCTTTACATAACAAGTACAAGAATTTCCAAGAGCCCCTCCCCCCCGCGCCTTGCACATTACCTTTAAAGCTGCAGATCCGGCTTTCCTACTGAGCATGTCTGCTACGTTTGTTGGTTTAATGCTTAATCTTGTTTCTGTGTGGCTTGCTCAGAACATCCTATGTGGTGTGTGGGGTACAATGAGGAACACAGATTAGGATATAAATTATATAATTTAGGTGAATATATAAAGCTCTTGGGAATCCTGAATAAAAGGCAGCATACAGAAGTAATAATGACATGCCACAGACTTTAGAGTCATTCAGATTCAATACATACTGCGCAATTTTGCGAGAAGGTACAGTGATGATCTCATCCCACATAGCTAAAGAGAGCTGACCTCATTAACAGTCCCCAAAGAAGCTATGTAAGAACAAAGTATCACTTACTTTTGTTCTTCAAATACTAATTTTTAAGTGTTCCTGTTTGTTCTGAAGTGTTTTCAAACCTTTAGCTCCTCCATCTCATTTGAAAGATCAGAACTACAGTGCTGGATTGATGTCTAACTGTAGGAGAGATGGATTCTTCTATGGCATGGGCATCTAACTGTCAATCCTATGACGCATAATCAGTTTGAAGGCTGAAGCTGAATCACTCCAAAAGTATTGTTGGCTGCCAAAGAAAATTCAGCCACTGAACTGGTAGAAATTGCTAACAGGTCACCTAGAGACAGCTTGTATTTAAGTGGTAAACCAGCTTTAACAGCACTAACTGCCTCCTTATATATACAGGGACTGTTTTCTTCAAATAGACTACATAACAGTTCATTTGAATTTGAGGAACTAGTGAGCTAAGAGAGCAAAGAAGCTAGTCTTCCTATTTCAATTAACGAAGAATTAAGACCTAGATAAAGCTGCAATATTCTAGAAAGCCTAGTGGGTAACACTAATTACAAAAGTATTTTCTTCTTGGTCATTAGTTTCTCATTTTATTTTAAAACTGATCATTGGTTTTGATGCTGGTCAATTTTTCTGCAAAAGAAGCAATGTGTTGAGGATCAAAGAATACCATAGTTGCAAAATTACTCCAGGTTTGTTTATATTGCCTAAATTAGTATCATACATGTCAATCCCACTATGATGATGCACAAGACTGACATAGGAAGTTTTTAACTTGCTGACAGAGCTAGTCCTGCAGTAAATATTCACTCTGCCCTCTTTGGGCCCCTAGAGCAGATTCCTTTCTGAGACAATGTGGAGTGCCTCTTTTAATTAGTCTTCACCCACCTCACTTCCTTGGTTAGTACCATTAGTTTGTATGGCTGAGGTTGATTTTTAAGTTAACCCAGATATGGAAGTGTGGCACTAATGAGCAACAGGAAGAAATACTGTACATTTTAGCACATAGATAATCCCTGAGCTGTTGTGCATTCTCAAGTCCTCGATTAGCAAAATAATCATAAATTCAGTGTTACCTTTCCTACTGTATCCACAAGCACAGATCCAACGGCATATTAAAAGCACAGCTCCAGCAGGCCCTTGGGCCTGTGCTCGATAAGTTACTCTCCACAGGCCATCAGTCATGAAAAGCCTTGCCTGCAGCTTTGCCCATCAATCTCCTTAAGAGGACAAATTTAGTTTAACTACAATCCTTACTTAATCTAATGCAGTCCCTGGATTTCTCGCTGATCCCAGACAGAAAATATAGGTGTTTCCTGCTGCAGCAGCTATACTCTGGTTTCAGTCAGTGAGTTAGAGAAACTTCTGGCAGACAGCTTCCAGTTTCAGGCTCCTCCTATCAGACAGCTCTTCTTAAAGTGACAAAACTTGTAATAGGTCATTTGTCATAACACTTCCCAGGGCTGGTGGCAATTGCATAGCTATTTAATACATTGTTATCATAGAATTTATTTATTTAATGTGATAGTTTTTAATGATCTTTTTATAAGCCCAATATTCCTCAAGTACCTTAGTTTTAACAAACAGACTTTAGAACCATTTCTCTTTTATTTAAAGAGACTTCCATTCTGTCACAGAGGTGCATCAATGTGTACTGCTGTTACTTTGGGAAAGTTGGATTATCAGGTCCATGCTGAGAAAAATAACTCCACATAACTATCTGGTCATAACAGTTGTCAAAAACAGTTATAATTACTTATTGCAGCACACCTAGCATATCTCACACAGAAGTCTTTCCTACATGTGAGGGTGTAAACTGGGAAAGTTCAGCTGAGTTTCTCTTTAATTCTTCTAGCAGGAGTGGGATTCCAAGTGTTTCAGGCTTCACACTGTGGCCCCTGCATTTTACACTGCCCTCTGGAAGGCATGACTCTTGCAGCACCCGTCACTGTGCTGCCACAGCTACTCCTAAGAACACTCACTGGGGTAGAGGTGGAAAGGATTCTGAATGCCATGGGGAAACAGTCTGCAGTAATTTGGGCAAGCTTCCCCTTTGAACTTGAGGGCTGAGGAGAGGGAAGTAGGTCCCCACCAGATTCTGACCTCCACCTATAGCCAATGATTGTAGTGTATTGTTCATTTACTGTGTGGTTATAATTAACTAACATGTTATGTCATATATAATTATTGTATGCTAAATAGAGTTAAACTTTAGGATTATAGAAGTATAAGATTGATCAGTATGTAGAGGGAATAAGCTTATTCCTTAATTAACACCTGGGCACACTACAAAATACAACAGGGTATCAGGCAACAAACCCTTGCTCTTGTTCTAATCAGCACAGGGGACTCTGAGGTTAGGAAGGAAGTGAGTGAGCATGCTGTGGAAGTGGCACTCCTCTCTTCCTCAGTATGTCGAGAACTGCATGGGGGCTTAGGGCCTTAGTTAATGTAAATATGGTGATATTAGTATGCCTCAATAATATTCCTTCAATAGGGTTATTTTACCCAGTGAAGGGAAATGATGCTTACTACAGTTAGTCTTCATTAATTATACATCTGTTGGTCTCTGTAAACAAGTTCAATGTTTATTGGTCAGCAGTGGGTACACAATATTTAATACTTACAGCACTTTCTATGCATAAAGTGCTGTTGTACACATGCTCACTGATCTTCAGCACAAATATTTATCTCAATGGGTGACTATAGGCCTGAATCCCTAACTAACAAAAGCTTTATGCTCTATAGACGGTGAGCTTTCAAGATTGTGAAATAATTAGCCAGCTCACAAGCATGCCAGAAAACTTCTTGTGACTGGTTAAAATGATGTGTCCTACTCTTGTTAAGAGAAGATCTGGGAAAAATTTTTTATTGGTGTCAGTATTGCAGAAACAGGTGATTTTCATAGGAAATCAAGTTTATATAAAGGAAAGGCTTGGAATATGGAGAATAAAGTGTATTGAAAGTATTCATGACACATGCTTGAAATAATGTATCAGTTTAAGAGGAAGTTTTGAGACTAATCAGTGCCATAAAATGTCTATTTTAAATAGTGAGGAGTTTAAGGAATGAATGTTAATTTAGTGAGCATAGTAGGCATTGAACAAAAAGGTATGTTATATCAGAGACCAGATGACGCATTATAAAGTGCCCCTTGAGGTTTTGTAGGTAAGGTTGAATTGACTTTTTCTCTTGAATCAGGGATTCATCCACTTCTGTATAAAGAATTCAGCATATCCTCAAATTATAACACTTACTGAATATATAGAATGTGTTATGTATTTGTGGCTTAAATGCTAAAGGTTCTCTTCTAGCCCCCAGAGCTTCAGTCTGGCTCATTCCCAGCACACTAGGAATTTATATTTTTAAGTTCAGGTTCTTTTCTGGGGATCAGTAGAAAAAAGATCTTTGTACCTCTTGCTCCAAGAAGGTAGATTAGGTATGGTAGTCATATGTTCCCAAGACCTTCCACTGGAATATGTGGAATGGCCATCTAACTGATATAGCAATAGCTGATGTCAGTAGCATGTGTCTGCCTATGTGTGTTCACATTGGATAGGTTCAAGCATGGGTAGTCATGTAGGCTCAGATGAGACCTACAACATTTCCATAAATTAATCTTATTAGTCTGATAATTACCTTTTTAAGTTAGGAAAGTTTGAGGGTTTGAAGAGGCTGTCAACATCGCTATAATCTTTTAAAGGTATCAGTATTTGCAAGAAATTTAAGGGGGTATTTTCTAATTTAGATTTTTACTAATTGCAAAAGAATATTCGCCACACACTTTGGACACACTTGACAAACTTAAAACAGACCAACAGTTGACCTACTGAGAGCACTACCCCAGCAACACCAAGCTTACTACTGCAGGAGGGGGTCCCTGCCCTTCCCCAATTACAGCCATTATGTCTCTGCTATAGCTGTAATGTCAATCATCTTGTGTTTGAGGACTGATAATCATGGAAGTGTTTGGGACATTAAAGGCCCCTTGTGTTCCTCTCTCTTCCAGGCCATTGATGAGCCTCCATATTTGACAGTGGGCACTGATGTGAGTGCTAAATATAGAGGAGCCTTCTGTGAGGCCAAGATCAAGACAGCAAAAAGACTCGTCAAAGTCAAGGTATGTAGTTTTCCTGTTAATTTTTCAGAAAAATTCATGGATATTGTGAATGCCATAACATGCAGATACACTTTACTCATGATACACTCAAGGGGCTTAGTCACATCCATTACTCAACTCCTCTTCCATGCTGACTGGCATTGAAAAAAGGTGCGGCATTAGGGCTCCTGCATGTGCTACCTAACCATCCCTTCAGGAGCATCATGCCTATTTCTCTTCTTCAGGCAGTGTCTTCAGTCGCTCTTCCTGTGATGCTCCTTTATGCCTGCCTCCCACACTGTGGCCCCTAAAGCCACAGGCTGGTTGTACAGCTATAGTCTTAGGACTTGTCTAAGCAAACAGTGTGTGGCAAGTTGGGAAGTAAATGTGCCTCATACTAGCTTGCCAAGCCCTAGAGGTCTGAGTGGACCCTGCTGGTGCTCATTAAAGATTTCCCCGATGTATTTTATCTACTTCCACTGTGAAAGACATGCTTTTACATTGCAACTTGCCATGTACTAACTGTTCATATAGACAAGGCTTAAGATGAGATGTAGTTCATTTTACAAGTATCCTGAGGTAGCCATGTTAGTCTGTATCCACAAAAACAACAAGATGTCCGGTGACACCTTAAAGACTAACAGATTTATTTGGGTATAAATAAAACCCACTTCTTCAGATGCATGGAGTGAAAATTACAGATGCAGGCATTATTATACTGACACATGAAGAGAAGGAGAAGAATGTGTCAGTATAATAATGCCTGCATCTGTAATTTTCACTCCATGCATCTGAAGAAGTGGGTTTTTTACCCACGAAAGCTTATGCCCAAATAAATCTGTTTAGTCTTTAAGGTGCCACCGGACTCCTTGTTGTTCATTTTACAATTATTTTTCCATAGGTTTAAGGCAGTGCTTTTTAGGAACACATGACTTTACCATCTAGCAGACTACTACTGCTTCAGAGAAAGGGGAAGCCTCTTCCATCTTCAGATGAAGCATCTAGTTAACTGTTAAATGCTTTCATATGTGGACAGGAATTCCTTCCTGATCCCTAAGCTGTCCAGTTGATAATTGACGCAATCAGTATAAATCATATACAGTCTATCTGCATGTTGTAGAGGGAATACTCGGTATAGCTTTTAAAGACTATTATAAACTAGTTAAAATACAACTAGAAGTATACAGGGCAACTTCTGGACTTGTCTTGAGCAGTTAAATCTATTATCGATCATCTAAGTTTGTATGTTTGAATAACTGTACCAGGAAAGTGCCTGCTCAAGTTTTCTTATCCATGCCTATGAAAAACCCAGTGGAGAAAGCTAGGAGGGATCAAGAATTAAGGAAAACTCAGTACTGTAATACTATCTGTTGCTAAATTGCATCTGAGCTATTCTGACAAAACACTTTATTGAATAACGAATCTTCAAGAAAATATTTTTCACACTATAGCTCAGCTGAAATCTAGGAGCATAATATTACAGTACTGAGCTTTTCCGTAAGTGCTCTTGATCCCTGCTAGATCCCTCCATTGAGTTGCCTGGTTGGAATAAATGAAACACCAAAGTAAGTTTTCATCGTTGTTGTTGTAGTGAGCACTTGACTGTTTCCTGCTATTACTGACTTGGATTATAAAGTGTTTGACTCCAGTTGCATGACTTAGCTCTGTATAGACAGCCATTGCCTTAGGCTCTCAGCTGGTGTCCGCTATAATGGTAGACAGCTAACACTTATACCAAAATGTAGGATGTGTTTTAAAAAAACTTTAACAAAATATAGTGCTAACAGAACAGTTCACGAAGTTGTTGCAACATGAACAGTTAAGAATTTCTCCTCCAGCTTAGTGAAATCTGTGTTAGGAAACCCCTCCAGCGTCCCTAGGCATTTAATATAATTTGACCTTATTTATGAAAAGTGTGCATTTACAGACTAGCTTAGACATTCTGTAAAAGGAAGCTGCCTTCAGTATGAACAAACAATGAGTGGAAAGTGTAAACTTACACCTTATTAGGGCCGGCTCTAGGCACCAGTGTAGGAAGCAGGTGCTTGGGGCGGCCAATGGAAAGGGGCGGCATGTCTGGGTCTTCGGTGGCAATTCGGCGGCGGGTCCCTCTTGGAGGGAAGGGCCAGCTGCCAAATTGCTGCCGAAGAATGAAGCAGCATGGTAGAGCTGCCACCGATTGCGGCTTTATCTTTTTATTATTTTTTTTTCCTTCGCTGCTTGGGGCGGCAAAAAAGCTGGAGCCAGCCCTGACCTTATTGATCTGTATGAAATGATAGACACCGGAAAGGCAGCGAGGGTGGGATACGGGTGAGACCCACTAGCCTGTGCTATGAAGACCTTCCATAAAAAGTTATCACAAAATGAATTTTATGGCCTGAAGATTACCTGAAGCATCTCCTTGAAGTGGTAGAATAAGTCTTTCTTGCCTCTATCTTGTTTTATTAACATCAGAAAACATCCACCACCTGCCCCAGTTAAAATCTTAATAAAACCATTTTATACAAGAACTACAAGGACATTTTAATATGGATAATGTCAGGTTCACATAGGCTGAGGCAGAATTTAACACAAGGGGCAATAGAGGTGTACTAACTTATCTTTATGGTCCGAACTACCATGATTGTTAGCTTCTTGGGGCAGTGACTGTCTCTTCACTACTCATTTATGCAGTCTAGGACAATAGAGTCCCAGTACCTATTTGGGACTTTTAAGTGCTACAGCAATACAAGAAGTTAAAATAGACCAAAGTAAAACAGTGATGTTCCTAAGTCTATTTTAAGTTTGAGATGTTTAACAAATAAGGAATTTTAAAAGTTCTTTAATCTAACAGTGACCCCTGATTTTCCCAAAAGTTATTCAACTCTTTCTGGCACACTTCTGATTTTTCAAGATTTTCAGCTGACACTTGGGCCATATGGGAATTTTTCATCACCAACTGAGTGCTTCTGAAGTTTTTGGTAGCTTGCTTGCTGCATATTTCCCTACCCCCAGTTGTTTGTAGCCTCTACTCCAGTCTCCTATCACACATAAGGGAGTCATCTTCATTTTACCAGGGAAATCAAAATTATCTTTATAACATGAATTTTAGCTTGCAGAGTCTGTTTAAATGTCATCAGCATGGTCTATTTTACATAATTCATGTAGGAAGAGCAACAGACTTTTCAGGACTAGAAATGACTTACTTGATATATAATAAGTAGTTTTAGCTGTTCTCTTTTCCTCTCCTCCCCATTTAACTTAGTGGTGTATTTCTAGAGGCGGTTGTACGGTCTTGTATAAAAAAAATCCTATATAAAAGGCACAGGAACTTAACATAATTTAAGTTTTTCAGCAAAGAACCATTATTTCTGCATCAACTTCCATTCAACTCAGTAAACTGAATTAAATATTAAAGCAAATAATCAGTTCGGTATTTTTTGTTAGTATTGAAGTCATTTTTAGAATGTCTCACTTTTACACTTCCCCCAAGTCTTACGGGTGCTACAGAATTTTGTAACAGTGCAATCGTATTATAAAAATTGAAGTGGGAGACAGCTGAGATTTGGAGCAGTTTGGACTTCTAAAAGGTGTAGGAGGCAGTGAAGTTTCATGGTTCAGGAAGCAGAGGCTTTTGGAATGGAGATGGTGGCTCATTTCTTCCCCCCTCCCACCAGATAGTGTTGGGCATGTTAGTTTTACCCAGCGAATATGGCAGTTCTCCCCTCTTTACCTTATCCCCAATATAAACTGCTGCACCCAGAGCTAAGCATGTTAGTTGAATGTTTTAGTGATCATTTTTTAAATAGTTATGATATGTAAATAATCTTGATTAGGCTTCAGTTAGTGCCTAATTAAGATGAATAAAGGCAGTTCATACTTTGAGCTATTTTTCCAGCTAGTTCAGTTACAGACTTGACACACCATTGCTCAAGTAATTTCCTTCCCAGCAGTAAAGGCTAGAAACTTAATTTTTTTTTTTAAAGTTAGAGTTTTTTCTTCCAAAATCTCTGGCAAGGGGTGGTTGTTTCTTTAACTAGTTGGTTAGCATTAGACACAAGACCTCCTGCATGTCGAGGTCCTGGACCATTAATTGTTGGTACATCAGCGCTGAATTATAAAAAACCCAAATACAGTGTTATGTATACAGATAACTTCATGACTATCTTCCTTCACTTACCCTTTTGTAAGTAGGATACAACAGTTCTTCCTGGTGAACGTGGTGTTTCTAGTGCAGAGGTGGGAAAACTACGGCCCGTGGGCCACATCCGGCCTGCGGGACAGTCCTGCCCGGCCCCTGAGCTCCCAGCCAGGGAGGCTACCCCCTGGCTCCTCCCCTGCTGTTCCCCCTCCCCCGCAGTCACGCTGCCGTGCGGGGAGCACTCTGGCCCGCCGCTCGTGCCAGACTGCGCGGCTTGCGCCTGCCCACCTCCCAGGCTTTCCAATAAGCCAGTCCTGCCACTCTGAGCGGCATGGTAAGGGGGCGGGGAGCTTGTGGATAAGGGGTAGAGGGTTCTGGGGGGCAGTCAGGGGACAGGGAGCAGGGGGCGGTTGGATAGGGGGTGGAGATTCTGGGGGGGCGGTCAGGGTACGGGGGTATTGGATAGGCATGGGAGTCCCAGGGGGCCTATCGGGGGCGGGGGTGTGGATAGGGGTCGGGGCAGTCAGAGGACAGGGAACAGGGGGCGTTGGATGGGTTGGGGGCTCTGAGGGGAGCAGTCAGGGGGCGGGAAGTGGGAGGGGGCAGATAGGGGGCAGGGGCCAGGCTGTTTGGGGAGGCACAGCCTTCCCTTCCCGGCCCTCCATAACGTTTCACAACCCCGATGTGGCCCTCGGGCCAAAAAGTTTGCCCACCCCTGTTCTAGTTTGTAAGAACTGTCCAGATACCTGCTTTGTCTGGAACTACAGTCCTAAACAGCCACACCTGAAACTAGACCACTTGCATGTTGAAGTACAGGGGATCCATCCTATCATTCGTACTTGTACAGAAACCATAATACCTGCGTTTCTCCAAGCTTTATAAATATGGGTTAAGAATTAGTCTTTAAGAAAGCTACTTGTGTCAGAATATTTCCATCTTACACAAAGTGCAGTGGGTATGTGTGACGGGGTTTGAGGGTGTAAATCCAGGCCAGTAAGAGGTTGTATCACCACTTGCTGTGCTACTCTTTGTGCCTCTCAGTGCTTTGCTGCTATAGCTCCCAGCCTGGGATGTTCATAACCAGCCTACAGGCATGCAGATCACAGCTCGAGTGTCTGTGTGCTAGACAGCCCTGGTTCAGCAGCTCTGACCCCAGCAGCCTGTCTACAGTCCCACTTTGGCTTCCACCAGCCTTGGTTACAACTGCAAGGTGACCCCCCCCCCCCCCCGACCCAGATTTCCCCAAAATCATGTGCTCTGCAATGTCCAACCCTCTCCCGAACAGTTTAGAGGAACAAATGAACCATATTATTTCTCTGAAGACACAAAAGCATATCACTGCTCAATAACTTAATTGGGGTAAATACGCCCCTTCATTTAAATAGTGCACTGAGTTGGTTTATAGTAAAAATAAAATTTATTAACAACAGGACATAGGTTAAGTGATGCCAAGTAAAAAAGAATAAAGTTAGAAAGGATTACAACCCCCCAAAAAGTGAAAACATACACCTAAAAGTCTGAAACTTAATCTGCGTGCTGCCTCCGCCCAGAGCACTGGCTTCACATCTCCTATCGGCTGGGAACCACAGCCAATGGGAGCTGCAGGGGCGGTGCCTGCAGGCGGAGGCAGTGTGCAGAGCTGCCTGGCCACACCTCCACCTAGGAGCTGAGTGAGGGGGATGTCGCTGCTTCTGGGGAGTCCCCCAGGTAAGCGCCGCTTAGAGCTTGCCTCACCCCATCCCATACCCCAACCCCCTCCACACCCAAATTCTGCTGCTGGGGTGGAGGGGGCGCAGTGGCCAGAGACTGCTGCTGCAAAAGTCACGGAGGTCACGGAAAGTCACAGAATCCATGACTTCCATGACCTCCGTGACAAACTCACAGCCTTATTCATAACTCTTAATACCCACAGCGTACATACATTACACAAGAATACTAATGATCAGTGAGTTATTAGTTTTTAAATGATACTTCAAGACATATTTTGTACAAAGATTATTACAATTGTATGTATGGTGTGAATACAGGGGTGCTTAGTGTCAAGGTGCCAGTCCAGTGACACTCAGCATGAAGATTCAGAATGCAAAGTAGTTTTATTCACCTGAACTATACATTTCTGGGCTCCATAAAGTCTATTTAAATGTTTTAGGGTTTTCAGTTTAGTAAACTGCACTACTCATGATTTCCTACCCACCAAAAAAAAAAATTAACTCTAGCTTACCTAAGTATTTTCCCCCTGAGCAACATATGAATGCATGCATAGAATAAAGCATTGTTGCCTTACACCCAAACAGTCCTCCAAGAAGTTTGCATGGTATTTACCTTTAACAGGACAATGACAACTTAACACTCCTCTGAAAGTTTACCTAGGCTTTGTCTACACTACACAGCTTTTAGCGTAAAAGTTGGGCAGTGTAAATGCTGTTTGTCAGCACTTTTGCCGACAAAATAATTCCACCCCCTACAAGCGGGGTTCGCGTTGTCAACAGGAGAGTGCTGCTGGCAGCAAAACTTTTGTCTTTCGGGTGGGGCTTTTTTTAAGTGGCAGTGTAGGCAAAGCCTGACTGTTAAAAGTAACACTTAAGATCACCAACTGAGAGGCTAGAGAATTCTGTTCAGCTTGTACATTTGACAGCATGTTGTCTATAGCCACTTTTACCACTTCCCTGCAGAGTTTCCTCTGTTTTACATGTATCTTTCACTCAACAATGGGGAGAGAAACAAAACAAAAGTGAGATTGTAGAACCATAAACTGAGGCCAGGAGTACAATCTGAAGCTGTTTTTTTAAAGTTATAAATTTAAATAGAACCATTGGTTTAAGGACTATGTTTTGGGTCTAAATATGTTGACTTTATCCTTTTATTTGACTGATCAACCATTTTAGATGGCACCAGTTAAAATCTTTATGCAAAGTTTGTTTGTTTTTACAGCGTTTCTTTGCATCAAGGTCACTTGCAAAATAACTTCTTGGAAGTGTTTAAAGTTATCTTGTAAAACAAAAATATCTGAGTGACAGAGCTTCAGCAAATTGAACAGCTACAGGAGGCTGGTTGAATGCAAGATGAGAATTAGAGAAAAAGGAGTGCTTACGCTTTCATGTACTTACGCTGCTCAACTGTATCAAGTGATTGTTAGTTGAATTATATTTTCTAGGTAACATTTAGACATGATTCTTCAACAGTGGAAGTGCAGGATGACCACATAAAGGGCCCATTAAAGGTAATACATTTTTTGAATTTCAGTAGAATTCAAAGTCATTTATCAAAATGTGTTGATAGTTATGTCTATCTAAGGTTACACTTTTTTCTTTTTTGGGAATACTGATTAGCAAGGTAGAAGTCTTTCTATAGGGATGAGAATTTAAAGAGTTTTTAAATATGTAGGGTATGATATGGAAATCTGTGGCTGGTCTGAACATACAGTCCTGCCATGACATAAGCCCGTTCCATTGCCCATTGCAAAGAGCGAAACCCAGCACTGCCAGTGTAGAGTGACAAGGTATAAAGGTCATTTGTTTAGCAGATTCCCTGCTTACCACAAGGACAAGATTAACAAGAAACTAGCCATCACCCTGAATATTAAGTAGTTTTAGCCGATTCATTTAAGATTTCTACCCTGCTACCAGGGGAGAAAACAAAGCTGGTTCCTCAGTTTAAGTGCTTGGTCACAAATCTTTTTTGACCAGCTTGCAGATGTTTTGGTGCAAATCACACACCCAATTTCCATTTTTATGTGGGCTCCTTAAGAACATGAGGGATGTCCCTGTTTCCCTGGAAAAATCTTAAAGCCACACCTATTAGTTCCCCATTTTATTTTCTACCAGATCAAGAGATGTTAAATTGATAAGTCGATGTTAAATTGATAAGTCAATGTTAAATTGATTTTAGTATTCACAGGCATTTGCACTAGTTTAAACCTGTCCTTACAGATTTTAGAATCTATATCAACTTTGTTTAGTTCAGCGCTAAATGCTCTCTAATTATGAAAGTAAATCATGTTTATTCACAATTTTTAATAGGGTTGGGTCCTGCCAGCATGGCGAGAACTAAGACTGACATGCTTATGCCGTAACTTTTGTTGAAGCTTTGTGCATATATACTGAGCCAGAATTGAGAATTGGCATGTCACAAGGCTTGAAGGTTTTTAAACATTGAAAAAGTCTCCGATATCATTCAGAGGCTGGATGTCAGCAAACTAGCCAGCTTTCTGGCTAAAGATGATGCAGAAACAATCAATCAAACTGCTTACCAAGGATCATATACTGGTCACCAACCTTGCAAGAGGAACCAGGCCAGTAATCCTAGGTGAACATGACACATTGATCAGTTGAATTTTTAAAAACTGAACAGTGCAACAAGACACTCTAAGGGCTTCCACACTACAGGCAAGGAATTTTAAAGAAATAGGTCTTGTTGACTATTTTACTGAGTTAGTTTACTCAATTGTTACTAGAAGTAAAGACTTTTATAGTAGTGGGAGAATTAACTTATGTTTTAGGGATGGGACTTTTGTAAGAAGTATAACTATGACCACTTGCCAAAGTTTAAGTACAGGAATTTGTCAAAATATAAAATACACATTAGTCACATTCTTTCAACTTTAATATTTCAGTGTAAACCGTTTATATGGACTTCAGGTTTCAAATACCAATTCAGGAAATCAGATAATCTTCCTCTTGAAGCCTTTAGTGACAGCTTTTTTAAAAGAAGATCCTACTGGCTCAGATTTTCCAGTTAAGTGTAGTTTGATGAAAGGAAAACTGCTTCTTACCTCTACCTCATAGGGCCTACACCTCCCTCTCTGTGTTCAACAAAACACAGAAGCAGATAGGATAGTAAAGGGAAAAATAAAAGTGGACAGAAGGCATGAGTAGTAGAGGAACAGTATTGAAGAAAGCTGCAAAGCAAAAATGGTTGACATGATTTGTCTTTTGCAAAGACTAGTGGGGAGAATAGGCTTATAGTGCTCTCGGTCTCTTAATCTTCATATTGCCTCCTTCCTCTGGAGGTGAAGGGGATGTGAGCACTCAGTGCATAACTGATAGGCTTTTGTGCTTGAAGCTAAGAAGTTTGATTGGTTCTGGTTTTAGTCACTGTTGCTTTGGAAAAAACTCAGCTGGATGATTTGAACTGGCAAGCTGTTCTACAAGAGAATGACATAACTCAAAACAGTTCTTATTCCCCACTTGCTGGCAGCAAAGAATGAACCATATTCAGTTATCTGGATTGGTTTGGAAAAATAAAGTAACAAATTTACAAATATAATTTTGAGCGAAGGTAAAAGGTAAAGTACATTTAACTGCGCTAAACTAGAAATTCAGTGCACCTGAGGAACACAAGGTTGGACCTGTTCTAAGCAAAGTATTTTTAGCATCTTACCCTAATTAAGATTTGCTGATTTAAAATATTTTTTACAGTCCTAATTCAGATGAATTCTCTGTTTGAAAGTTTTCAAAAGTTAAGTAGCTTTTATATTATTTTAGGTAGGATCTGTTGTAGAAGTAAAGAATCCAGATGGAACTTACCAGGAAGCTATCATCAACAAATTAACAGATGCAAGTTGGTATACTGTAGGTAAGAGAAATGGATAACTATGTCCTCAAACTGGAAAGTACACATCAGAAGAACATCACCACTTATCCAAAGATTAGCAACACTCGATCTGTTTTAAATTTGAGAAAATGCCTTTGGGCTATAAATGTATATCAAGAATATTCTCGGTGGGAAGTACTTAATAAAAACAAGATTTTGTATCTGTAGAAGCAGTTGCTTAACAGTGTTCCCTGTGCTGCACACTTTTGTCGAGATGATTTGGTACTAGCATATGGACAGGCTTAAGTTCACACTTTATGTACTGCAGGTAGTCCCATTTGAAGTCGATGGAACTATGTAAAGTTAAGCACATGCATAAATCTTTACAGGATTAGCACCATATAGAAAATTACATACTTGAGTACTTTTAAATAGCAAATAGGTAAACACTAGACCAGTAGATAAAGTTATTCAAAGTTGAGTTGTCTCATATTTAAAGAGATTCACTCTCAAAAATGAGTTTTCTAACAAGATATACATGCTTTATTAGTCTAGAAAAGCAGTTTTCAAACTGTGGTACATATAGGTTGGTTTAATCAGAATAAGAATCCAGTCTAACTACACTGATAAATTGTGAAGGTGGTACACCAAATATTTTAGTTTTAGATGTGGTATATTAGGTCCTTGCTTGAGAACTATTGGTCTGGACTCTAGAATAATATGCTATATTGTACCTGCTTTAGAGGGTAGTTAGAAATAACTCATGGTGATTTTAAGTATTACAACAACTGCAGTAACAGTTTACAGTACTTATTTTCCCCTAGTTTAGAACAAAGATAAAAGCTATCATAGCTCCTTTTAAATAAGCACATAACAATGTTGACTCTTCCTTTAGTTTTTTCCATTATCTAATCAAGTCCTAAAACATTTTTTTCGATGACTTAGTCCAAATGCCCTAGCAAAGCTTGCTTTCTGTATGCCCAGTTCAGATGGCCCTCGCTTTTCAGTGCTGTTTCCATGGCACGTCAACCAGTCTATGAGAGGTAGAAGGGTAGAGTACATGTAAAACTAGTTTTTCAGGTCTCAGGAACCAATACTCTCCTTAACACAGCCCTAAATATGGGAAAATTAAAAAGCACCAATTAAGGGTTTTTTAATTTTTTTATTATTATTATTATTTATTACTACAGTAACTCCTCGCTTAACGTTGTAGTTATGTTCCTGAAAAATGCGACTTTAAGTGAAACGATGTTAAGTGAATCCAATTTCCCCATAAGAATTAACGTGAATGGGGGGGGTTAGGTTCCAGGGAAATTTTTTTCACCAGATAAAAGACTATATATATATATATATATA